ATCCTTTATTTCCCTGCATTTTTGCATTACTAAATCTTCTACATTGACATAATAATATCCCCCGCAAATTAGGAACAAAGTTTGGGTGTGTGTGTGTGTGGGTGGGGGGGGGTTCTTCCCCTCCCCATAGTTCTGAAGGTCTTAACTTGTCCCTGAGCTATTTATAGCAATTTCAGCAATATTTTCTTGCATATAAAAAAAAAACCTTCTGTTCCCCCCCCCCCCCCCAAGGGGATAAGGGTAGTAATGTGACTGTAGTCGTAGATTGGAATGCAGTGTCAACAACTTATAGTTATTTAATATCTGCATCAGTGTCAAGTAGGTATTATGCTTTCCCTTATATTCTAAGGATTCTTTAATCTCTGTTTTTGGGTGGTGGGGACATGAAGACACAATTAATATTTGAAATGGCTTTAAGAAAACAAGAGACGTGTTTAAACCATAATGCATGTTTCTCTTGTTCTTTAATACAGAATTCTTAGTTTTACAAGTACAGCTTCTCTTTCCATTCCAATAATCTTTTGTTGTTGTTGTTGTTGTAGGCTTTATTTTGTATTAAATAGTAGGTGGTAAATTTTCAGACAGTCTGATCTTAAGTTTTTAAGAAACTTCTAATGGGCAACTGAAAGGTTTGCTTCTTTTTAAGTTCTACTTTCAGACCAGGAGTCTGGTACAAGAGAGACACAACCCTGAACTTCTCTCTTTGGACCAGATCCTGCAAAAGTTTAAGTACCTGATTAATTTTACACACTATGAGAAATCCCATTGAAATCAATAGGATTTTTAGTGCATAAAGTTAAATGTGAAAATTATTTGTGGTATTTAGGGCCTTGATAAATAAGTGGAGGAGGACCCTCCTTTCAGATGTCCTGGTATCCTTTTGCACAGAGGATACTCCTTCCAGGGAGGGGACCCCAGTTATTATAAACAGACGGGTAATAGTTGGGTTGTGATGACTAGGAGAAGCTCCTGGTGAATAGCCTACTGGGTGCAAAGGTTGCAGACTTCTCAAGACATCTAGATAGATTTATGTGCTGGGGAGGAGGAAGTGATTGTGGCACAGCAGGTACCAGTGACCTAGGGAAAGGTGGGACAGATTTAGGATACTAGGTAAGAGACTAAAGTCCAGGACCTCCCTGGTAGCATTCTCTGACATGCTTCTAGTTCCATGTAGAGGGCCAGTTAAACAAGCAGAACTGCAGAGTCTTAATGTGTGGATGAGATGACTTTTGGAGGAGGGATTTTAGGCTTATTAAGAACTGGGTTACCTTTTAGGAAAGGAGGAACTTTATACAGGAAGGATGGGCTCCACTTAAACAAAAACAAAACCTGTTCACATTGCTGGTATGTAAAATTAAAAAGGTCCTAGAGGAGTTTTTAAACTGAGTGCTGGGGGAAAGCTGACCGGTACAAAGGAGCAAACAGCTCAGAGGGATCTCTTGGAGGATTTATTAAAGGGGATACTCTATATCCTAGTAAAGAGGCAAGGATAGACATTGATAAAGTACAGATAGGAACTGAAGAGAAACAGTCAAATGAGTCCCATTCAGTTACATTACATGAAGACAGACCACTAAATATTGACCAATTTAATAAGTGCTTGTATAAAAATGCTAGGAAAAAATACTAAGATGGGTAAACTTCAGTGAATGGTATTAAATGAGGACATTGATACAAAAGGCACCATAGAAACTTGGTGGAACAATTATACTCAATGGGGCACAGTTATACCAGGGTACAAAATACAGAGGAATGACCGAGTAGGTTGTGCTGATGGAGGAGTGGCACTCTATGTGAAAGAGCATAGAGTCAAATATAGTAAAAATCTTAAGTGAAGATACCGTAGAATCTTCATGGATAGAAATTCCCTGCTTGAATATTAAGAATATAGGAATATGCTACTGACCAGAATGGTGACTGTGAAATGCCCAGGGAGATGAGTGTACAAAAACAAAAAACGCAATAATAATGAGGGATTTCAACTATCCCCCTATTGATTCCAGATATGTCACCCCAGGATGGGATGCAGCAAGAAAATTTCTAGACACCATAAATGACCGTTTCTTGGAGTGGCTAGTCCTGGAACCCACAAGGGGATGGGCAATTCTTGATGTAGTCCTAAGTGGAGCACAGGGTCTGATCCAAGAGGTGGATATAGCTGAGCCTCTTGGTAATAGTGACGATAATGTAATTAAATTTTAACATCCTTGTAGGGGGGAAAACACCAAAGAAACCCACCACAGTAGCGTTTAATTTCAAAAAGGGGAACTACGTTTTAAAAAAGAAGGAGCTAGTTAAATGGAAATTAAAAGGAACAGTCACAAGGGTGAAATGCCTGCAAGCTACATGGAAACTATTTTTAAAAACACTGAAATAGAGGCTCAGACTAAATGTATATCCCCAAATTAAGAATGAAAGCATAAGAGGACCCCCCCCCACACACACACACACAAAAAGGCCACCATGGCTAAACAGCAGAGTAAGAGGTGGCTAGAGGCAAAAAGGCATCCTTTAAAAACTGGAAGTCAAATCCCACTGAGGAAAATAGAAAGGAACATTAAACTCTGGCAAGTCAAGTGTAATAAGGCAGGCCAAAAATGAATTTTGAAGAGCAACTAGCAAGAAACAAAATCTAACCGCAAAAAAATTAGTACATCTGAAGCCGGAAGCCTGCCAAACAATCAGTGGAGCGACTGGATGATCAGGGTGATAAGGAGCCCTCAAGGAAGACAAAACCATTGAAGAGAAGCTAAATTAATTCTTTGTATCCGTCTTCAATGCAGAGGATGTGAGGGAGATTCCCACACCTGATCCATTCTTGTTAGGTGATAGATCTGAGGAACTGTCCCAGATTGAGGTTTCAGTAGAGAAGATTTTGGAACAAAGTGATAAATTAAACCATAATAAGTCACCTGGACCAGACAGTATTCATCCAAGAGTTCTGAAGGAACTCAAATATGAAATTGCAAAACTACTAACTATGGTATGTAACCTGTTGCTTAAAAAGCCTCTGTACCAGATGACTACTGGGTAGCTAATGTAATGCCAGTGTGTTGTTTTTTTTTGTTTTTTTTTTTTAAAGGCTCCAGAGGTGATCCTGGTAATTACAGGCTCGTAAGGCTAACTTCAGTACCAGGCAAATTGGTTGACACTATAGTAAAGAACAGAATTATCAGGCTGATTATAAAAACTGAATTGTATCAGTTGATATAGTGTACTTGGACTGTCAGAAAACACTTGTCAAAGACTGTCAGTTGTTGTTTGCATGCATGTTCTCTCTGCATGGTGCCTGTACAGCATCCTTCAATCAAATGGCCCAAGGAGTCCACAGACTGTTCAGTGGTGAAGGCATTCAGCCAGGTTTATTCCAGACAAAGCACGGTATTAGCGCTATATACGTGCTCCAGGTACACTTAATACATGTATGCCCATAACAATGGACCAGCTCAGTGAGCGGCAGGACTTTCTGATTTTCCTCCCGGCCAGACACCCCCTTTGTGACCCCTCTTTTATACACTGATACAGACATGTTACATATTGCCCCTCTGATGTGATTAGTTACCTTCCTTTACTTTGTACCTGTAGGCTCTATCAAAACATCTCTATCCATCATCCTGTCATCCTGATCTTCTCTTTAGGAGGGGTCACTGTGTCCCTGTATCATCTTCGGGGGGAGTGTGTTTACACCATAACCTTGTATCGGGGTGTTCTGGTGTCACCCTTCTGGAATGTGTTTGTGAATACTCAGTGCCTAGGAGTGTTTGCCAAGCTTAGGTATTGGATAGTGAACCTGCAAGCAGGCATCTGCTTTGTAACAGGGCCTGACTTTTGCTTATAGCTGGTCTCTTGCTAACTTTGCTTTATCTCAACAGGGCCTTATGCCAGGTCTCAGGCTCTCTTTCTATTACAAAGAGGTCCCACTCCAAAAGATCTTAAGCAAACTAAGCAGTCATGGGATAAGAGGGAAGGTCCTCTCAAGAATTAAGACAGGAAACAAAGGGAAGGAATAAATGGTCAGTTTTCACAATGGAAAGAGATAAATATTATGGTGTCCCCCGGATCTGTACTGGGACCTGTGCTGTTCAACATATTCATAAATG